CCCACAGCGCCCCTAGAGGACAGAGTGGAACTGCCCCACAGGGTCTCCAAGGCTGTCAGTCTTCACGGAAGCAAAGCCCAAACCACACCCACTGCCCTGGAGTCCATTCTGACCCACAGCGCCCCTAGAGGACAGAGTGGAACTGCCCCACAGGTGTCCAAGGCTGTCATCTTTAGAGAAGCAGACTGCCCCATCTTTCTCCTGTGGAGTGGCTGGTGGGTTTAAACTGCCAACCTTCCGGTCAGCCCAGCACTTAACCACTGCGCCGCCAGGACTCCTTCCTTTCACCTGCAGCAGTGGCTGAACAATGGATATGAGATCAGGCCCCAAACTGCAGGACTCCTACATGGCAGCAGAGTCCCAGTGAAAGGGCCGCTGCTCGCAGCCCTCCCCGTTACAGAGCTGGACCACAGTGCTGCCACATCTCTTGGGACCTACGCTCCCAACCCCTCCTCTGCGTTTCCTCTGCCAAGACCCAGCCCCTCCCTCACAGACCTGCGTCTCCAGGACTCCTCCCCACTGTCCCAAATGCTCTGCCACATCAGCCTCCTGCTCACACAGCCACACTCATCTTCCAAGTGTCATCCATGCCCTTCCACTGCTCTGAAAGCATCTTCAGTGGCTTCTAACCCCCACTGACAACAGGGGTCAGGGCCACCCACAGCCTGGATGCCAAACTCAAGCACGCCTGGGCTCTGGGTCACACCTGCCCTGACACCCCTGTTCCCTCCACCTGGACTCCCAGCCCACATGGCCAGTTCACGGCTGACCCCTGTCCTACACAGCGTGACACCCACTGGGACAGGGCCCGGCCTGACAGGTACACAGCGGGGAGGTGCTGGCCCAGCTGCCTGAAGCCCTCCTACAGGAGGGGAGTAGCATTGCAGGGGCGGCTCACAGGGGCTGAGGGGTGGGGTGTGACATGTGACGTGAGGGGGAAGGGTGAGAGAAGGGTGGTGAGGGAAGATGGCGCTAGCAAGCAGACTCGCACACAGGGACCAGGAGTGGGACCCTGGCAGACCGCGCTATGATGTCTGCACTTTTCCCAAGCCCAAGGAAACCACCAGAGAGCATCAGGGATGCAAAAGCCATTGTCCTTCGGGAAGGTGTTGGCCTGAGGTGTGGTGTGAGATGGAGCCGGGCAGTGAGGACCTGGGCTCAGGGACACACTGGGAAGCCTGGGCCGGGGCATGGCTGAGCCCAGAGATAGAGACGGGCAGTCTGAGTGCCAGTGACTGGCCAGAAACACGAAGGGAAGGAGGGAGAAGCAAAAATAAAGCCAGATTGCTGGCGGGGCCGAGCGGGTGGATGGGGTTCCAGGTCCAGGGGGAGGGCAGTGGGCTGGGGGTGGGGGAGGCTCAGGTCCAAGGGGAAGCTTGTGGGGTACAGGTGCAAAGGCTCAGGTCCAAGGGGAGGGCTGCAGGCGGCGGGGTGGGGAGGCTCACGTTTGGAAGCACTCAGTTGGAGGCCCTGGGGCATCAAGAGATTAGGGCTGAGGGGTATTCGGTTTGGGGTGTGGTTATAAATTGGAGCACCTCGGATCAGCAACAACCCCAAAAGCCCGGAGCCCCAGAGATGACTTCACAGGAAGTAGACGCCAGTGAGGAGAGCCCTGCCAGGCTCTGAGGACAGCGGCACTTGAGAGTGTGAGGACATGGAGAATCTGAGCAGCACTCTGAGGATGGGGGTCTTGGGGGGCAGACAGAGGGGTGAGCAGAGCCCCGAGGACCACAGACCAACCCAAGACAAAGTTTCCTGAGCCCGCGGCCGGAGGAAATGGGAGACGGCGGCTGGCACAGGTTTCACCGTCTTCCTAACCAGTGAGTGTGAACTTGACAACAGCATGCGTCAGCGGCAGATGGTGACGCTGCCCTGAGTGGCCACTCTGACCTCCCCAGGAGCAGCCTGGCTCTTCCCCCGGCAGCAGCTGGCCCACGGCAGCCAGCTTGGTGAAGACACCCAGAGATGAATGCTAACGAGCAAAAACCTCCCTGCCTACAAACACACGGGGCAGATAATTCACTGCGGATCAAGTCAGATCAAAGTTCAGAGCAGAGAAGGCCCATCAACATATCAGCAAGTCTGCACGAATGTTTTCATAATCCTGGGGGTGGCTAAACTGACACAGTGGCCGCAACACCAGGCTCCCACACTGCTCCCAGCAATGGCTGGGAGGCTGGCGTGGGACCAGACAGTGGTTTGCTCTGCCGTACAAGGGGTCGCTATGAGTCGGAGCCAACTCAATGGCACCTAACAACAACTACAGCATGTGGCAGGTAGTTGACAAAGCATGACAGAAAAGGCAAAACCATCAAGGGGAAGACGAAAAACAAGTACGTTGAATGACAAATGACAAACTAAGAAAGCAGTATCTGGCCTATGACAGGCAAGGGCCGAACATCCTGATACAAAAATAACCCTGAGAGCAATTTTTAAAAAATAGATGAAAACCCCATTCAAAAACCAGGCAACAAACATGAACACGTGATTTATTTTACTTAAGGTAATGCTCAATGTCACCAGTAATCAAAGGAATAAAAAAAGAAAAGAAAAACGTGTTATTTCTTACTGACTTGGTTGGGCAAAAACTGAACAGATCAACAAGGTGGCAGGGTGCAGTGAAAGGACTCCCACCTTCCACGCGGAGGCCGGGTTCGATTCTGGGCCAGGGCCCCTCACGCCCAGCCATCCCCCGTGCCAGAGACCAGCCGCTCCAAGACGACGAGGAGCATCAACCTAACACCGGGCCACGCTCTTCAAGTGCCACCACGCTCCCCTGGTTCGGGCTCCGCCCACCTGTCTAGCCAGGTACCTGTTTATGAAGATTGAGGCTGTCGATTTCAGACAGGACCCAGCCAACACTGCCATCCCCTCCACAGACCAGAATCCGGAATGTGTCAAATTTCTGGAATAACCGTAAGCTGCAGAGAAAAGAGACAGTCAAAGAGACACTGCACACCCTAGAGGACAGATGGCAGCTTGCTGCCCCCCAGCTGCTGCCCTCACCAGTGACTAGGCCTCCCAGGGGCCAGCTGTGCACCAGCTGTGCACACTGCTCCTCTGCTCAGGGTGGGAGAACGTGGGGATGACAGGTGGAGGGGAGCCCTATGAAGGCCATGGCTGCCCAGGCAGGAGATGACTCAGTGTGAATGACTCTGGGCCTTAGCAGAGGCCACAACTGGCCAGTGGCTGCCACCATCCCCCTGCCCAGCTCCTGCTCCTCCCCCATCCTCTCCAGGTGCCTCTGAGACCATCGGACACTTGCACCTTAAACCTCTGGGCACCCACTCGCCCCCGGGCCTGCCACCAGGCTTCTGACCCACCACCTAGCCAGGAATGAGCCGAGCCCACGGCTGATCGTAGCCTCATTGGCCTGTCCTCTGCAGTGTGTCCCGTACCCCGGGTGATGCGACCCACCCCTTCTCACCTATAACTCACTGAGCTCCCTCATCACCGTAGCATCGACCAAGCCTGCTCTGAACTTGCCTCTCCTCCCGTGGGCCCTACACAGTCCAGGTGCTACCACCACTGGTCACACAGACTCTGCAAGGGCCCCAGCTCCCTCCTGTGATCCCTGGATGACCTGGGCTACCTCAAAGATCTTCTAAAACAGACTCTTCCAAGGCTCTGGCTTAGTTCCCAGGGGAGGGTCAACTTATTGGCCTGCCTCTCCTTTCCTCCCTCCCTCCCCATCCCGACCCTGGGGCCTGGCCCCATCCCCCAGGTCCTCTCTTGAGCCCAAGTCTTTGCTCATGCAGCAGTCTCTCCCTTGCACAAGCTCAGCTGAGACCTGAGAGCCCAGTGTGACTGACGCCATCTCGGAATTCTGCGGGCTCCATTTGTTCTCTGCCCTCTGTGGGGGCCGTCGGAGCTGACTTCGTACCCCAGCACCTCTAAAGCACAGTGCCTGGCCTAGGTAGGTACTCAGGACAAAGGGCTTAGCGCTAACCTCGGGGCACCAACACAGTTGAGGTTCTAAAGCGACAGGCCACAGTTGGCTCCAGGCTCCGGGAGAAACTGCCATGTGTTCCTACACAACCCTGCAATCCACAGGCCTTCTGCTCTGCGCCAAGGCCAGGACCTAGGAAAGGAGCTGCTACCTCCAAGACTACGGACAGCGTGAGGTCAGGGTGCTGCCCAGAAATGAGGACTTACAGACAGACACCGCGCCTCTGCGGGGCTCACATAACACTCACCTAACACTGCCGGAACTGTGGTGTGTGCAGTGTGGCCTCTCAAGTCCACCATGCAGTCTGCCGCCCGGGGCCACTCACCCAACACACCTGGCGGCAATTCAGTGAGACCTGAGCCTGGCAACTGTACCATGACAGGGATGGACTACGCCACCATGTTAACTGAATGTGTTAACTGAAGAAGTGCTCCTTCACCAGCCCAGGGTGCCCGTGGCCCTCCGTCAGGCGAGCGCAGGTCTGTCTGCAGACACTCTGGGAGTGTGCCTTTGAGGCATCCTTAAGAGCTGCCATTTGTGACCTTTTTCCAACAGCCGTGTCCCCGTGGGGAAACGGGCACTAAATGCCATGACCAGGTGCGTGATACGGACACTGGGGTGCTCTGCCTTCACAGGTGTCTGCTGAGCCCAGGCAGTGATCACCCAGGCTGCTGGCTCCAAAAACAAAACGACTACAGAAGCCTCCCAGGAAGGTGGTCAAGCAGACAGCAGGTTCTACAGGCACTTTCCACTAGAGACACTGCAGAGGCGAGCACTTCCCGTCAGACACCACGGACAGGGAGCACTTCCCAATCCCACTACAGACACCATGGACAAGGGTCACTTCCCATCAGACTCCAGACGGGAGCACTTCCATCAGACAACGTGGACAGGGAGCACTTTCTACTAGAGACACTGCAGACGGGAGCACTTCCCATCAGACACCATGGACGGGGTGCCCCTGAGTCCCAGCAAGGCCCTCTAGAGCTCCCACCTTGAGCCAGCTTTTCTAAATGAGACCGTAATTAGCACACATCACAAAATTGAGAAGCAAAAATCTCTAAATTGTTCTCTTCAAACTCCTAAAACGTATAAATATAAAAAGACTCTCGGGCTGCTAGCACCGGATATAGAGTAGAATTCCTCTGTCCGCACCCCAGTGCCCGTCCACATCACTGCATGCTCACGCTCAGGGATGCCTCGCGCCCTCCCAAAATGAAAACTCTCCTGGGGCTTCGCCACATCGAAGCTTCCTTCTCAGTACTGAGGAGCTCAATGCTAATACCTGGTGGTACTATGGCTAAGATGCTAAGCAGAAGGTCAATGGTTCAAACCCACCAGCCGCTCTGTGGGAGGAAGATGTGGCAGTCTGCTTCTATGAAGATTACAGCCTAGGAAATTCTACGGTGCATTCGACTCTGTCCTGCAGGGTCACGACGTGTCGGAATCGAGTGAATGGCACTCAAGAGAAACGACTCAGTACTAAGCAGCCATTAAAAAGAACACGGCAGATCTATGAATACAGCATGAAAATGCGCGCACAATGTCATACGCTGACCCGTTGCATGGAACAACAAGTAAAAGCAGACCCACTTCCTTAAAAAGTGGGCGTGTACCCACGGCTGAAAGCAGCTTTTGAAAAGTTAGAAGAACACGCCCCCCTGTTAACTGTTATTAACTGCAGACTAGATTGGGGGCAGAGTGTTCAACATTTAGTTTCTACTAAAATTTTTCTTTATCTTTGTATTTTTTTTGTATTATCATTAAGCATGCATTGCCTTCAAATTGTTAAAAACTGCAAGGAAGACATATTGTCACAGCACCCTACCCGAGGTGTGGCCCTCCATTCATGAGGTCAAAGACCTGGGCAGGGTTCAGCAGCTGCTTAAATCTTCTAAGGAACTTCACACCCTGGTTGTCGCCGCTTTTTGAGTTGACAAAGACCAACAAGGGGCTTGTGCAAGAGGGTGGACACGTGGCCTTCCAGAACCCTGGGTGTGAGAGTAGAAAAAGTCAGAATGACATTATGAGCCAGGGAAGACACAAGGCACTGCTCCTCGCACGCTGAGCAGAGTGCATACCTCCAGGACACACCACTTACACACACACGCCCAGCAGACCAGTGAGACTTTTCCCTCACCACTCCCCACACACAAGGGGGTTCCCATGTCATGTGACTTCACATTTACAAGGACTCTCACTTTCAGGAGTCCCTGGCTGGTACAAAGGTTAACACACTTGGCTGCGAACCCAGAGGTAGGAGCTCTAAATCCACCCAGAGCCCCTTGAAGACAGGCCTCAGACAGCGGAAACCCTGTGGAGCCCAGTTCTACCCCGACACCCATGGGGGCGCCAGGAGGAGCCGCCTTGACGGCAGTTGGTTTCCAACCTCAGAAAGCTATCCCCTCACGCCCTTCCTTCCTGGTGGAGCCCTTTTCCTCTGAGAAGCGTCCCACTGTTTCCCACCTTGTTCATATCAGTCTTCAGGTATCAACCACAAGCCCTTGGGGAGCAGGTGTGCAAAAGTGTGCCCAGGGCTACGAGACACACATTCAAACTACTCAAGTCAAAAGGAAGCATCTTACCAACAGCTTCTCAAAAGCCACGTCAATCTCTCACCTTCACGTAAACTCGGGCCCTCAAGTGTCAGGTGTACACCGCGGTGAACACCAGGCACCATACAACGCCTCTGCAAGATGCCCCACCCCCCGTAGCAGGGCCTGACTTCCCACTGATGGCACCTCAGAACCCCACCACACTCCATGCTAGGTTGGCAGGAGAAGACGCTAGAGAGACAGCCATGAGAAGACGACTAGGAAGACTAAGGGCACGGGCACCTACCATCCGAGTCGATGCTGTTGAGTGCCGTGGGGGGGATGACCGACACTTTGCACAGGCCCAGTGGGCACTTGGTCAGCAGCGACTCCTTACACGCTGTGTGCACCTGAAACCAGGGTTCAGCTCGTCACAGCACCTCGCACACCACGTCCTCTCCCAAGCCCGCCAGCTGCTTCTGGAACTGTGCTCGGCACCTGCACCCATCCAGACCCCTGGCACCCTCACAGTGCATGCGAGGAAGCTGCGTAATGACTGAGGTGGGAAGATGAAGGCCTGGGCGGGAGGCCGATTGGGGTCCCTGCAGCGTGGACTGCACTCCTGGCCTGGGCAGGAGGCCGATCGGGGTCCCCACAGTGTGGACTGTGTTCCTGGCCCAGCCCCCTGTGCTTTTCACTAAAGATACCTGTGACTCCCACCTGGAAAGAGAGGATGCTGCCTAAATGTCAACACCAAATGCCTCCCAGACTCCTCGCTCTGCGTCACCAGACCCTTTCCTCTGCTAACAAGCAGCCTTCTGGTCGCCAGCACCAAGGCCTGGGCCTTTCTCTCCACACAGTCCCCCTACTGGCCAGACCCACCCAGGGAGACTTGGGGACAAGCTTGGGGGGCACCTGCCACCCGCATGGCCTTGTCCACCATGGCGCACTCACCATAGCCTTACACCAGAGACAGCGCCAGTCCTGCAGACGCAGCACGCTGCCACAGGTCTTGTCACACACCGTGCACTTGGCACTCACTGGGAGGTTCCCCTCCAGCCACTGGTGCGGCATGGAAATCTGCAAACCAAGGGCAGAGAGACATGGTGACGCCTGTGTGCTCAACCGAGGCCGCGGCAGAGTGTGACACATGGACACCCTCGGGCAGAACTGCCCTCCCTGGCCTTGACTGGACAGTCTTCTCCTCACAGGCAGCTCCTGATGCCGGCGGGGTCTGCAGAGGGATGCCCAGGCCACAGCCCTGTTCACAGGGGGTCCCATCCCCAGGCCCAGCCCTGCTCATGGGGGTTGGAGGGTGTCCCTGCCTGCCCATCACAGCACTGCTCACAGGGAGGGCCTCACCCCTACCTCCACCCCGGTCACTGCAGCAAAGCTCACAGGGTAGGGCTCCCCTGGCCTAGCTGCCTGCTGAGACCTGCCAGGAAGGGACCTGCTCCCACAGGAGGCAAGTGTGGGGGTACTGCAGACCCGCCAGCCCCACAGCTCCCCTCGCCATACCCCATCTTCATCCTCGATGATGTCTTTCCCGATGGAGGCCAGCGTGGTCCACTTGCAGTTATTGGTAGCGCGTACAGCACAGCGTTTGTGGGCCTTAAACTTGCACACTACAAGAGAAGGAGGGTGTGAGTGTGCAGGTTCTGCCCGGGACAGGTGTGCCGGAGGGATGGCATCCGGGAACCGTCCCTTGGGACAGGTGGCTCATAAACTCACTACAGTGATGTGCTTAGAGATGGCGACAGTGGAGTCTGATACCCAGCAGGGAGGAGGTACATCCCTCCTTGCCGGGTTTGGCAAACTGCACAGGCCCGGATGATAAGGAGCCTGGCTCTGCAAGCCAGACAGCCGGGTTCACAACTACGTGACTATACCATGGCGGCACAAAGGCAATGACGGACCTTCCTTTACAGACACTACAACTGGAACCGCACGCAATTTCACGCTTCATGGAATACTGCTCTTCTTTGGATCTTGACAGACATAAAGTTAATGGCCGTTCTTAAGCTGCGGGCTATTCCAGTACAGGAGGCAGGTGGGGTGGGGCCCACTGTTTGCCAAACCTAGCTCTAGTTCATGACTCGGCCACCGGCCTGGACTCTCTTGCCCAAATATTGTGACCATGGCCTCTAAGTCAATCCATACAGCCACCACCCAGTTCTCCCGGGTGTGGGACCCTGGGTGCAGGAGGCAGAGTATAACCACACACTGGGGTGACGGTGGCTGAAGTCTCCCCCACTCTGTGCTCCGTTTCCTGGTCTCTCCTTACTACTACCCCCCTCCTTTTACTTTAATTACTCTAAAAAGTAATCAACCAGGGCCAAAATCAGCAAAGTAAACCCGGACAGGATCATAAAATCCCTTTGCTCTCCACCAAGGGGGGACTGACGACAGGCTTCACTATGGGACTTTAGCAGGTAAACTCCTTCCCGAGCAGTAACATCCTGTCATCCTCACCCTCGCAGGACAGCCCGTGGGAGGTGACCCCAGACAGTGCCTCCCGGCACACGTTGCAGTATGCTGGCCTCGCGTGGGAGCAGGCGTACCAGTTGTGCGTCCCTGAGAAGTGGTCCATGCTGTACTGGGTGGGCTGCAGGACAACAGACAGAGGTGAAGGTAAGCACACCTTTGAGATCCTTCCCTGGGGTGACCCGGAC